AATCGTTAGGATCTACCTTTCCCTGCATGCCTACTATGTGTTCGGTATATGCTAGGCATCATTCATTCATCCATCTCAAGTGATCCCCTATATACTCGGGGTGAGAGCTAATTATGGGAGACCTTACACTGGGTGATAGGTTCTAGTGCTGTTTCTAAAACTAGACAGACCTGGGTCTGTCTCCAGGTCCCACCTGCAGATGTGCAGACCTTGCTGGGCCTCAGTGTTCTCGTCTGTAAACTGGGGCTAACACCTACATAGCTTCATAGGTTGTTGAGAGATGTATACAAAGTTCTTGACACATGGACATATTGGCTGTTATTAGAATAATTATCGCCATTTTCTAGATAGAGAACATGAGGCTCAGAAAGGTAAGGTGACGGTCCTAGATCACCCAGCCAGTGAGAAGATGGACAGCAAGCCCTAGAGGCCTGCCTGCCCAAACAACCACATGTCATGGTCACATGGAGAGCGATTCAAGTATCAAATCCCTGAGCCAAATTTTTGTCCCCCTGAGTCTGAACTTCTGGACCAGAATCTGTGCTTTTAAAAGGCTTCTTGGGCATTTGAGGCTGCTGGTCAGGAGTCAGGACATTTAGCCTGAAGCTTCCCAGGGCCTCTGCTGTGCATGCTTTAGGGGTGGGGAGCTTGCTAACCTCTATGCATATGGATGGACCATTCCTAGCATCCTACAACCAGAGCAGAGAGAAAGACTCTCATTTGGAGAGTTATCCAAGGCTCTTCTCCTCCCATGCTTCACCCCTAAGAGCTGGTGGGGGGACTCCCACCCTCTCTCCCACCTACGTGCCCTGGCATCTGGCCCAGAGGGTTATTCATTAGGCGACTGGGAGTGGCCTGGCCCCCATCAGACACCTGTTACAGGAGTCCGGACTTCCCTCTTAGGCCCAGTGTCCCAAAGGCCTGTAAATCATTCATCCTGGGCCCCCTCCCTGCCCCACCGCTGTCACGCACCTCCCTGCTCCCTCCCTCCTGGGCCCCCAGGGTGGCACAGGTGATAACAGGAGGGGAAAGGAGGGTTGCTCACAGCAGTGGGGTGTTCTGGCCCAGAGCTGGGACTGGAGCCCAGGGTGCCTGATTGTCATTAAAAATACAAATTCACATCTTCAGGGGGTAAAAATGCAAATACCCCAAAGACTCCCTCCTCCCTGTGGCTCCCCAGGCTTCAGTCCCTTCTCCAGGCAGCCCCGATACTGGCTTCCTGTATATTCTTTCAGAAAGAACTCTACAGGTGTACAAACATGTTTGAGTGTGTGTGTGTATTCCATTTTTATATGAAAATAGTAACATACTATTTATACCATTTTGCCTTTTTAAAAACATAATGTTTTTAGAAATTGCTCCATATTGGCACATACAGAGCTTTATAATTTCTTCTTAATGACTGCCTAATGATCCTCTCCATGGATGTACCATCTCTTAACCAGTCCTGACTCACAGACATGTACATTGTCCTTACTTTTGTGCTATCTGAAACAGCTACCTCTCTGGGCAGTTTTCTGTGGGATCACTCCCTGGAAGAGGGATTCAGGAGTCAGAGGGCATGTGCATGTTAAATGAGGCTGAGATCAAAGTCGGGCTCCAAGGAGGACATTCCCATTATCACCCACTGGCCAGTAGATGGGACTTTCTGGTTCTTGGACCACACAGTGTGATTTCAAACATTTGGTTCTTTGGCAGAGCCATTTTCTCGGCAGTAAATTGTGTGCTTTGAGCAACTTCCCCAGATAGAAGTTGGTCAGTAGGTTCCTGAGCCCACCAGCCCCTCTCTTGGGTCCAGGAGGCTGTAACAGGTCCTGGGTCTTCACTGGCAGTCTTGCTGGAGGTGCAGCTATGCAGAGAGGAGTAACTATGCAGCCAGAACCCCATCTGTTGTCTAGTTCCTGCTGCCCCCAGAGTTGGGGGAAAGAGCCCAGGCTGGAGGTCAGAAAACCTGAGCTCAGACTGATACCACTACCAGGCAGGATGGCCCTCAGCAAGTGCCCTTTGCTGAGTGTTGACTTCCCCCATCTATGAAATGGGTGTAATGGATCCCCACTTGCTCATCAGGGAGGATAGGAGTGAGGGTTGGATGCCTGAGGAAAAGGATGTCTTTATAATCTCTCAGGCTGAGGTCTGGGTGGGTAGGAAGCCTCCTCTCCCTACTGCCAAAAGTGAGTCTTTTGGGCATTTTCAACCTGAGGGCCATCCAGCCCCCGCCAGGACTTTTGGGGATCTGCCCTCACCATGGTCTGGACCCTCCCTTTCAGAAATACAAGTAGACCATGGGTCTGCAATTTGAGCTTCTAGTGCCAGTGCTTAGAAGGCCATAGAGCTTCTGTGGACCCCAAATCTGGTGGGGTGAGGACCTATGCACTATAGCAGGAGCTGCAGGCCTGGTAACTGCCTGGGGCTTCAGTAACCCTGAATGTACAGGGAGTTTGGACTAGAAGAACTCAAGGCCTCTCTTATTTGGACCTCTGACTGCTGTATAACCATTCTGAACGTCAATATCTTCATCTATAATGTGGGAGGAGACTGAACTTCTATGACCCTTTCTGGCTTTGGCCCAGTGAGCCCAGCAGGGCTGTGGGTTCAGAGATCTGCTGGGTTCCAGCGGTGGTGGCATTAGGCAGAATTGTTTTTGAGCTGGCGTTGAATTTTCTAGGTCAAGAAGGGGCCCCATTTGGAGCCAAGGCCTCGGCGGCCACTCCCTGGTCCCTTTCCTGGGTTAGGCCTGGCTGAGGGCCGAGGCTGTCTCGTGCTGTGTCGGGCAATGGGCTGAGGTCAGTGGTTGTGGAAGAGTCCAGTGTGGTTCTGCTGCTCTGGCAGGAAACTCAAGGGAAAGAGCCCAGGAACATCTGCTGTCTCCTGTTCTCCACAAACCATTTGGCTCTTGGGAAGCCCAGCAGTGTCCTGCCAAGCTGTGTGGGCTGGGTGGGGAAGGCGGAGACTGGAACAGTGTTGGGGGATAGTTAGTGCAGGGGTGCTGAGGAATAGGCAGGCCCAAAGCGGGGACCACGGAGATGAAGGTCAGGTTGTTGTGGGGGCATCTGGGTGAAGTGGGAGGGGGTCGATGGTTATTCAGACTGGCCAGGCCCTGGTGGGATGCAGGGGTGGGTCTGAAAATGCTTGCGTGTGCCTCCTGATCATAGCTACGTGCCCAGTTTCTTACAAAAGGACACTGGTATTGAGACAGGCCCTCATAGCAGCCCAGGCCAAGCATGACTCTTTAATAGTCTCTCCAGACAGACCTCTGATCCCAGCCCAAAAGAGATCCCTGACATTAACCCATCCAGTTCCTAGTCCAAGGCTGAGTCTCATGTGGAAGCCAAGCTACCACCTTCTTTCTCCTGAGTTATGGCAGGTCTCCCCACACTTCCACCATCTCACCAGTCTGTTCTCTATGCAGCAGCCAGAGGCATCTTAAGAGGCATCTTAAAACCTACATCAAACCTCATGTCTCCTCTGCTTAAAACCCTGTAATGGCTCCTGTCGCAGACAGAGCAAAACCCAGGGTCCTTTCCATGGCCTGTGGGCCTTGCATGACCTGCCCACTCCTTCTGCTCATGGCATCCTGGGCACACCAGCCTCCTCACTGTTCCTCCCGCTTTAGACAGCAGGCACGTCCCCACCTCAGGGCCTTTGCACCTACTGTTCCCTCTGCTTGGGCACCTCTTCCCCAGACAGCTGCATTGTTCTTTCCCTCACTTCCTTTAGATCTTTGCTCAAGTTCCCCTTCAAGGTAAGGCCTTCATGGACCACTCTGTTTAAAATCATAGCTTCTCTCCTCCCTAAATTCCCAGTCCTTCTTTTTTCTCTGAAATACTTTTCATCAATTAACATAACAAATAATTTTCATATTTTTAAATTTTTACTCATCTCCCTCCACTAGAACCTAAGCTTCATGAGGGCAGGGACTTTTAATTTTGCTCACTGCTGTACCCGGGACTTGGCCCACAGCAGGAACTCTGTAAATATCCTTGGGCTGATCTGAGCACTCCTGTGTGTGTCTGGGCTCAGGCTGGAGTGTGAATGGCTCGAAGCAGACCAGCCCCTGGCGTGCAGCTCCAGCTCAGGGCTTGTGTCTAGAACCAGGGTCTTTTGAGGAACCTGACAGGTCCTGGGGAACAACCAGCAGCCCCAATACTTTCTGTCTGATTGTTTGGCCAGCAACCAATTGGCATTCAACAGGAATTGAGGAACATTTACCCCAGGGTAGTTCCTGAAAGCTTCCTGCTTCCAGCCCCTTGCTGCTTTCTCCACCACAGGAGAGAAGAGCAGCCGATGTCTCTGTCTCAACCTACCCTTGCTGCCAGGTGTTCCTCCAAGGATCCCCGAATAAGAACCACCTGGGGAGCTTGTGAAAGATGCAGGTTCCACCCCAAGGCTTTCTAGTCTACATGCTCAGTGACGCTCTGGAAGCTGTGTTTTTCACAAGTTCCCCATTTGTCTGTGTGCAGCCACACCTGGGAACTGGTGCATAAAAGCTGGTGGGCCTGGCAGTCAGAGTAGGACTCTGGGTCAGCAGACCTGGCTGAAACCCCACCTTCACCTGCAGCTTGCTGGGTAGCCCTGGGCAAGTTGCATCCTGTCTCTGAGCCTTGTGCTCAGTCGCTCAGATGTGTCCGACTCTGTGATCCCATGAACTGTAGCCTGTCAGGCTCCTCTGTCCGTGGAGCAAGACTACTGGAATGGGTTACCATACTCTCCTCCAGGGGATCTTTCTGACCCAGGGATTGAACCCACATTCCCTGCATCTCCTGCATTACAGGCAGATACTTTGCCTGCCTGCTCATGCCCATCTGGGGTCCCTAACACTGATGTGCTTGACTCAAGAACAGTGCTTGACTCCCAGGTTGGGAGTCTCCAAGCCTGATTGTTACTCTTTCAGCGTTCTTCTTCAGGGGGCCTGGATTGCCCTTCCTCCTGGGAGCCCTGCCTTGCCCTTTTGCAGGCTCCTCTCCCCACTCATCTCTCCTCCTGGCACTTCTGCTTCTCAGGTAAGACCCGGACCAAGGACAAATACCGCGTGGTTTATACCGACCACCAGCGCCTGGAGCTGGAGAAGGAGTTCCACTACAGCCGTTACATCACCATCCGGCGGAAATCAGAGCTGGCCGCCAACCTGGGGCTCACTGAACGGCAGGTGTGTAGGGCCCCTACTTCAGCTGCATGAGCAGTACTGCGAGTCTGGCCTCCAGGCTACCAGGCAGATTATGGAGCTCAGTCAAGGGAGAACAGAGAGGTTGTCTCCTGGCCATGGTCATACAACAGAACAGGGACTGAGCTGCTGCCGTAAATCCCCTGGCCAATAAAACCCAATACCCCTGGGCACCAATAGGGGGATAGGGGGTCTGATTAATTATAGGCTACAGGGGGCTTTGATCAGTGCTGTTTAAATCCAGAGGAGGGAGTAGTCACAGGGAACACAGGGAAGGCTTCCTGGAGGAGGGATATTGGAGCATGGCTTTGGAAGATGGAGAGGAAGAGGGTTACAGAAAAAGTTGTCTTAAGAGTAAAGGAGCAGGGGTGGAGGGGTGGCTGTGGGGTTGGGAGGGAGGCTCAAAAGGGAGGGAATACATGTATACTTATGACTGACTCATGTTGTTGCACAGCGGAAACCAACACAACATTGTAAACCAATTATCTTCCAATTAAAAATAAATAAAATTTAAAAATTTAAATAAAAAGTAAAGTAAAAGGATGGAGGAACTGCTGCAACTCCTATATATTGCCAGGCAGAATAATAAAATATTACCAGTACTTCAAAAAAAAAAAAAAGGCAGGGGAACAAGTTCCAGAAGGGGAGAACATGTTCAGGGTACATGAACGGTTGGGGTAGCTGGAGCTGGAGGGAAGCCCCAAATGCCACATTAAGAAACAAGAGCTCCGCTGCACTCTCCCTTCCTCTTGCTCTGTCATTCAGTCTCCACACCGCCCGCCCCATCTCTGTTCTCTGACTCCACAGGTGAAGATCTGGTTCCAAAACCGGCGGGCCAAGGAGCGCAAAGTGAACAAGAAGAAACAGCAGCAGCAGCCTCCACAGCCACCCCCACCAGCCCATGACATCACCCCCACCCCAGCAGGGCCACCCCTGGGGGGCCTGTGCCCCAGCTCGGCCAGCCTCCTGGGCGCCTCCTCCCCAGTGCCTGTCAAGGAGGAATATCTTCCATAGCCCCCTGACCAGCCTTGTGGGCTGGGGGCCTTGAGGACTCAGGTGCTGGGAATGTGGCTCCTGTTGGGGCCCAGGAATCTGAGTCCTAAGCCATGCCACTGACATTCTGAGTAACCCTGGACAAATCACCCACCTACTCCCTGCATCCCCTGGGCCCACCCGCGGAGTGAACCTGTTGAATAGGACCGTTTCCCTCTTTGGTGTTCTAGGCCTCAGGGGGATAAGGGCACCTGGGGTGGGAAGTCTTCATCCCCAGGGGGCTAGGTGAGGAGGGGCTAGCTCCTCCTCCATAGGCTTAAAGGTGGGAGGCTGTTGTAGGGACCAGACTCCTGGAGAAAGGAGAAGGAATCCAGAGAAGATGGCTTGCAGACCAAGACCTGAGGGGGTCCAAGGGAAGGGTGTCAGCCACCACCTGCTTTTTCCTGCAGGCTCACGTCTACCTGCCCCCATAATCACATGCCTCGAACCCTCTCCTTGCGGGATGCAAAGCACAAAGCCCGCAGGATTGAGCCTGGGCAAGAGATGACTGTCCTCTCTGAGCTACACAGCATATCCCCTCACACCCATTCTCAGTGGAGTTGCCAGATTGTGGGGAGGCCTCTGAAGGTGATATAGGGGCAGAGTCTACCCTACCAAGTTTCTACCATCCCACCAGGCTGTCCCTTGGGGAGCAGGCCTCAGAGAGCCCCCAGAGGACTTTCTCTGAACCAAACAGACCTCACAACTGGGCAAGTGTGTTGCACAGAGAATGGAATCTCTTGGATGCAGCGTCAAGAATAAATTTTTTTTTCTCTTTTTAAAAATGTATAAAAATCATTATACATAGCATGAAAATATTTAAAAAGTGTAAATTTTCCTCATCTTTCTCAGCAACTGCATAGTCCCTCCTAGTCTCTGCAGGCCTACAACAAGGTCACCTTTAAAACACATTTGAAAGATCAAAACACGACATCATTAGAGTAAGTCTATGAGACTATGTCAAATTTTAAGTCCATTTTGTAAGCAGAATCATCAGATTAAATCTTTCAGTCTTTTGAATTTTTCAGATACTCAGGGATTTCTCTTAACAGATGACATTCATTGAGCACTCCCACGTGCCAGGCATAGGGAATGCACACTCCTTGCCCCCAGAATTCCCAGTCTGAGCTATGCTTTAAGTATCAGGGGAGCAGAGCATCCAGGGAGTCCAGAGAGAGCTCCCAGCTTATCTTCGAGGGTCTGGAAGGCTTCCTAGAGAAGGTGATGTTTGAAGTGAGGCCTATAGGACTAGTGGGTGTTGTCAAGCCAAGAAGGAGGAATGGTTAAAAAAAAAAAAAAGATTATGAGCAACATGAGCTTGAAGTCTACTTTTTTAGAAACTCCTGAAAAAAGCTGCTATTTTCAGCTCCCTTTCAGAGGTGGAAAGGAGTCTGTTGCCTGGGGCCTTCACTCCCTAGAGGGTTCCGGTGCCAGCTGCCTGCCCCTCTGTTTACTGTTCTGGGAGGTGGCCCAGCCATAAAAACTGTATGCAGTCTGCCTGCCTGCCCTTTGCTCCTGGGGCACATGACAACAATGCTCGAGGTGGATCCAGTCCCCACATGAGTCCCTGAAGAGCAGAGGCTCTTCTCTCTCCTTCTTCTCCTCCTGGTGGCCTGGGAGGCATCATGGCTTAACTGAGGATGGTAGACATCTAAGGCATGGGGACCTGGTGGAACCAGGGGAAAGGACCAGGCTTCCAGGAGCAGAGGAAGAAGATTGGTGGCAGAGTGGTTAGCAGTGATTGAATATAGTTTTCTGACCTTCAGAAACATTTGCTGTGTGACCCTTGGGTAATTGCTTCCCCCCTTTGAGCCTCGTTTCCCCATCTGTAAGACAAAGGAGCTTGTTTATCACGGGAAAAAAATGACTGTGGTCAAGTAAGTTTGGGAAGTCCTGGAGACTCAACCCTTCTGGGATAGTCACAGTGGTGCATTAACACATCAAAGACTGACAAGTCCCACAGCAAAGAAACCCCCTGAATTTTCTTTAATCCAGCATTCCTCATGCTTCACTATCCAGGAGACCCCTACTGGCATCTACCAGCACCCCACAGAACACCGTGTGCTCTGGAGTGTGGGGCTGGAGGGCCGCACTTCAGCTGTGACTCAGTGTTTAGTTAGCAAGATTTTGTTGTCACAAGGCCTGGACTCCAGCTTGGCTACTTCCAAGCTGTGAGACTTCAGGCAAGTTACTTAGCATCTCTGAGCCTCAGCATCCCCATGTGTCAAATGGAAATAAAATACTCTAAGCTGTCTCAGAATTGTGTTTAGCACAGGGCCTGACATGCAATAAGTCCTGTGTTTTAGCCACCTCCTCCCAGGGTTGCTATATCCTAGGGTGAGATGCTGGCAGGCCTGACTGATGCTCTAACTACCCCTGCCCCCGGAGCTGAGGACAGATCGTGGCTGGGAGGATCTGAGGCAGGACAAGCCTGTCCCCAGCTACAGGAAGACCTCTGTGGGGCTGGAGGTCAGTCACCAGGCCTGGCAGGCTGGGGGAGTTGCAGCTGCTGTCTACTGGAAAGTCAGGGGGTTGGGTGAGACCTACAGGTTGGGCAGGCCATCACCTGTCAACCGCTGTTTGAGCTTCATGGAAAAGGAAACTTTGATCTAAGACAACTTCCAAGCAGTGTCTTGAGCTGCCATGTGAAATAATACATTCCCTGCCACACAGAGAGTTCCACCAGATCTGGGGGTGTTGTAATGGCTCAGGAAAAGGACCCCTCAAGTACTGTCAGACCCTGCAGTCACCCCAGTGCTAAGAGGTGTTCAGGTTTTCCTATCAGGAATGACCTTGTGCTGCCTCTGCTTTGCATATAGTGACTTTATGCTTCCCCCCTGGCTGGGTGGCAGGCCCTAGTTGGTATTAGAGATGGGAGAAGTGTGGAGGCAAAAATGAAATCTGACCTGGCCTGGCTGTGCAAGGCCCAGGGCCTAGTCATGGCCTCTAGCAAATCCGAAACATGCGTGTTAGCACTACATTTCTATAGACCCCTAACACCATGTTGAGAACCTGAGTCTTGTGGATGAGACTCCATCACTGATTGCCAAGATCCTGGTGTGGGCTGAGTGGAAAGTGCCACAGATCAAGATTAGGGAGGGACTCGGAGCTGAGAGTGGAGTATCCACACAGAGGAGGTCTCTAGCCAGGAAGCCGACCTGACTCTAAGTGGATGAGATACCCAACCAGTGGGACACAGAAGCTGGGAGCAGAGCAGGTGTAGGATGCGGCGGCTTCAGAGGGTATGGCCGCTCCAGAACTACTTTCTCTGAATCTCACCAGATGGACTAGCAGTCTGGATCCTCATCTTTCACAGTCACCACTGGCTGGTGTAACAAAACACATGCTCTTCAGCGATAAAGTCTGAACATTTAAGCAAACTAAAAATGTTTATTTATATGCATTTAAAAATATCTTCCTATATAATAAAAGGAAGTACATTTTCATCTCACATTTTCTTTAAGTCCAGTACATATCCCCATTTTTCTGGTTTGATGTGAGACTAAGAAAAATAAAGGAGAGGGAGAGGGAAGGGGGAAAGAGAAATAGATTATTTATTAGGCTTGGATTCCTAACTAGTTACTTTGCCAAGTGGTACCCAAATTTCCTCTTGGAGGGGGAAGGGGTAGTGTTGAGAACAACTGTCAAATGTGCTCAGTGGCAGAACTCATGGCCAGTTGCATGATCATAAAACCAGGGTTTCAGAGGGTGACTGATTCATGTGGACAATGTCTTGTGAAAAATATTGAGGGGGTTGTTTGTTGTATGAAGTACAGACTTTTCCAACAAGGGCTGTGGTGATGAGGGTGAAGATGGAGGAAGTTGTGATATGGAGGGCAGAGCCTGGGTGGGGTCAGACTCCTTGATTCCTGGCCTCACTTGCCTCTACTTCACTGAATGATTTTCCAAGTCCTGCTTCCTCTGGGCCTCACTTTCCCCATGTGAAAGGTGAGCCCCAGTGACTGCTGGTGCTGCTTGGTGGTCACCTCATGATGTGTTTGAGAATGGCTAAAGTCCCAGCCCCGTTCCCTTCTCCTCCTCTAGGGCTGGCTCCCTCCGGGGCTGGATCTTGGGGGAGCAGGTGCTACTGGGAAGTGGCAACAAGGAGGCAAGTCTTTTAGGGTTTCTGAGCCAATGCCTGTCTCTACTCCCTGTTCCCATGCTTCTCTGCGCCTTGCTTAGAGTCTAATGAAACCTAAAGTCAATAAGAGGGAGTGGTTCAGACAAGCTGCAACCCATCCTGTAAGAGGCGTGATGGCAGCCACAGGCCCTTGGGACCAGGAACCACTGGCGTTTGTCTCTCCCCAGGCATGGCCTGGAAGCAGAGATCAAGCTGCCAACATCTATTGGATCATCGAAAAAGCAAGAGAGTTCCAGAAAAATATCTACTTTATTGACTATGCCAAAGCCTTTGACTATGTGGATCACAACAAAATGTGGAAAATTCTTCAAGAGATGGGAATACCAGACCACCTTACCCACCTCCTGAGAAATCTGTATACAGGTCAAGAAGCAACAGTTAGAGCCACACATGGAACAACAGACTGGTTCCAACCTGGGAAAGGAGTACATGAAGGCTGTATATTGTCACCCTGCTTATTTAACTTATATGCAGAGTACATCATGAGAAATGCTGGGATGGATGAAGCACAAGCTGGAATCAAGATTGCTGGGAGAAATATCAATAACCTCAGATACGCAGATGATACCACCCTTATGGCAGAAAGCAAAGAACTAAAGAGCCTCTTGATGAAAGTGAAAGAGGAGAGTGAAAAAGTTGGCTTAAAACTCAACATTCAAAAAACTAAGATCACGGCATCTGGTCCCATCACTTCATGGCAAATAGAAGAGGAAACAATGGAAACCTTGAGAGACTTTTTTTGGGGGGAGGGGCTCCAAAATCACTGCAGATGGTGACTGCAGCCATGAAATTAAAATATGCTTGCTCCTTGGAAGAAAAGCTATGACCAACCTAGACAGAATATTAAAAAGCAGAGACATTACTTTTCTGACAAAGGTCCGTCCAGTCAAAGCTATGGTTTTTCCAGTAGTCATGTATGGATGAGAGAGCTGGACTATAAAGAAAGCTGAGCACCGAAGAATTGATGCTTTTGAACTGTGGTGTTGAAGAAGACTCTTGAGAGTCCCTTGGACTGCAAGGAGATCAAACCAGTCAATCCTAAAAGAAATCAATCCTGAATATTCATTGGAAGGATTGATGGTGAAACTGAAGCTCCAATACTTTGGCCACCTGATGCGAAGAACTGACTCATTGCAAAAGACCATGATGCTGGGAAAGATTGAGGGCAGGAGGAGAAGGGGACAACAGAGAATGAGATGGTTAGATGGCATCACTGACTCGATAGACATGAGTTTGAGCAGGCTCCGGGAGTTGGTGATGAACAGGGAAGCCTGGCATGTTGCAGTCCATGGGGTCGCAGAGTCAGACACGACTGAGTGACTAAACTGAACTGACTGAGGCATGGCCTAAAGCCCTCCTGGCTTTATCTTCAAAGCGCAAAGATTTCAATGAAGTGGGCATACAACCTCACTCCTCGAAGACAGTTTCCTCAGGTGCAAAATAGGGACGCACAAACTTGACTTTCCAGGCTGTTGGAAAGAACTAAAATTTAGATATTGGATATGAGCTCATCAATGTACACAGTGGGGCTCAATGAATTCCCTTTCACTTCACATTCATGGCTAAGGGGCTCCTTTCTTCTTGGGTCTGGAGAGGCCCTGCCTGCCCTGTGAGGCCAGGCTTAAAGAAAGGAGCAGCTGGGTGGGACCTAAAAATCACTCCGCTCCAAAATCACTGCAGACGGTAATTGCAGCCATGAAACTAAAAGATGCTTGCTCCTTGGAAGAAAAGTTATGACAAACCTAGAGAACATATTAAAAAGCAGGGACATTACTTTGCTGACAAGGGCCTGTATAGTCAAAGCTATGGTTTTTCAAGTAGTTATGTATGGGTGTGAGCGCTGGACCATAAAGAAGGTTGAGCACCAGAGAATTGATACTTTCGAATTGTGGTGCTGGAGAAGACTCTTGAGAGTCCCTTGGACAATAAGGAGATCAAACCAGTCAATCCTAAAGGAAATCAACCCTGAATATTCCTTAGAAGGAGTGATGCAGAAGATGAAACTCCAATACTTTGTCCACGAGCCGACTCACTAGAAAAGACCCTGATGCTGGGAAAGATTGAGGGCAGGAGGAGAAGGGGGTGATGGAGGATGAGATGGTTGGATGGCATCACTGACTCAATGGACATGAAAACTCCAGGAGATAGTGAAGGACAGGGAAGACTGGCGTGCTGCAGTCCATGCAGTCGCAAATAGTCAGACACGATTTAGCAACTGAATAACAACAACAAGTGGGACCTGGGGAGGAGAGGTAGACCTGGGAGCCCGCCAGGTCCTTTGTCCAATCCTGTGCTGTGCTTTAAACTTTTCCTGTCTCCCACTCTACGGAAAGGAGAGGCAGCAGACACTTAATCTCTTTCTCCCCAAAGATCTCCCCAAAGATCTCCCCATGTTGGCTGCGAGTAGGGCAATGCCATGAGTGTCTGAACTGGGACACTTCTGAGAGTGAAAGCAGCATGATTTGCAATGTATATGCTGGGCCTGCTACCAAATACGGGTTCAGTTCCACAAACCAATGCATATAATCGTGCTTGCTCAGTCATTTCCGACTCTTTGCGACCCCATGGACTATAGCCCACCAGGCTCCTCTGTCCATGGAATTTTCCAGACAAGAATACTGGAGTTGGCTGCCATTTCCTACTCCAGGGGATCTTCCAACCCAGGGATAGAACCCAAGTCTCTTGCATCTCCTGCATTAGCAGGTAGATTCTTTATCACTGTACCACCTAGGAAGCCCTAGCTAATAATTTCCCATCCTACCTGTGGGCTCACTGGACCCTCACAACACTCTGAGAAGTCAGCCAAGCCCAAATTGGCTGATGACCCACTTTACAGAGAGGAAACTAGAACATTTCCAAGGTCATACTTCTGGGGAACAGGAACCCACGTGTCCATGATCTAAGTCGCTAATTATCACCACCATACAGTGGCACATCCCCTATTTTTTCTCCTCACCCCAAAGTTCTTGTTTCACTTTCATCCCACGAAAGAGGCATGTTCAGGACTACTACTAGTCTAGAAGGTCCATGAGGCCTGACTCTGTCACAAGGTCCCTTACTAGCTCTGTGAACTTGAGTAACTCAACCTCCCTGTGCTTTAGTTTCCCCTTCTGTTAAATAAAGATAACAACCTCTTCTCCAGGTCACTGTGTTGAGAAAATATTAGCACCTAGCCCAGGATCTGGCACACTTCAGGTGCTCAATAAATATTGGTAGGTTAGGTGATTGAATAAATACCTGACTATTGGCTGTTCATTTGTTGGCAAGAGTGGACAACTCATACTGGTCCATAAATGTTTACTGAGCCCCTACAATGTGCCAGGCCCTATGCTAAAAGTTTTCTTTGCACAAACTTCCTAGATTCCTCACATCCTTGTCAGGAAGGTAAGTTTGTTGTTCCCACTTTCCAGGTAAAGAAGCGACAGCACAGAGAGTTTAAGTCAGGTGGAGAGGGTCACACAGAAAAGAGGAGGCACAGGGCTGCCGGAACCCAAGACCGGGCTGTTAGTGTTCATGTGCATGGCCTGTCTCCCTCATTGCCCAGCTAGGGAGAGGGAGGCCCAGAGAGGGCAGAGTACTTGCCCAAGGTCACGCAGGGAGCGACAGCTGAGGCCTCAACACCGAGGGTTTCCTTCCTAGACTCCCCTCCTCACGCTCTCGGGGCCCCTCCAATCCGCAGCTCTGCTTGCGGGGGTGTGCATCTCTTCCCCCCGCCTCTCCCCTCTTCCGCTGTCCATCAGTCAGCCCATCAGTCTGGGAGTCTACACCGGCTCAGCGGTGCACCCCTCCCCAGCCTCGGGCGCTGCGCAGGGAGAGGCAGGGCGTTTGCAGCGCCCAGCCCGCGCCCCACGCCCGCAGCAGACGGCAGCGCCTGCGCCCGCGGCCCCCAGCCGGTGTGCGGGAGTCGCGGAGGCCAAGGCGCGGCAGCCGGCCAGCGGCACGATCTCTTGCTCCCTCGCCCGCTCTCTGCGCTCAGGAAAAGCCAAGCCGGGAAGCCCTAGCGACCTGTCTTCCAAGATGAAGAAGCTCCAGGGAGCTCACCTCCGCAAGGTAGGGCACGAGGGCAGGCCCCCTGAAGGAGGGGTGCAGAGGCCCGCCCGCTCTCGAGCCCCCTGGGAGGGTTGGACACCTACGCTTGGCTGAGGGCTCTGGGGGAGGCCGGCTGAGCGGGGCTGCAGGGAGGGGCGGGGTCACGGTCTGCGCGGGGTCGGGGGGGGGAAGGGGGGGCCTTCCCATCTGGGGGTCAGGATGCAGTGTGACGACGGGGGGCGGGGGGAGGGGAGGCGGGGAGAGGCTAGGGTTCACTGGGCCAGGTTCTGCGAACAGGTGTCTGCAGCCACAGGAGGCGGGAGGTAGGGGTGCTGGGACTAGGCACTTGCCCCTCCCCAGTACCTGCATCCTTTTCCCCCAGGAGCTAATTAGGGGAGTGGGGGATGCTGGAATAGCTGAGACAGACTTGAGCTGGATTACTGGGGTTGGGGGCTTGGACCAGGTCCTTATCTGTTCACGCTACAATGAAGCAGCCTCTGGGAGCCAACAGGGGCATTCTGGTTTCCTGCCGGTGCTCCTGCCCTGCAGCGCCCACCACCTGCTTCCTCCCCGCCGGCTTCGTTCTCCTGGCAGCTTTAGCTTCCCTGCTAAGACCCCAGGCTGCCCCTCAGCAGGACGCAAGGGAGGCAAAGGCAAGGAGGGAAGAAATGCAAGACCCCACAGCTCAGGAGGTGGAAGGAAGCTGGCATGAGAGAGAAGGCTAAGTCTCTGTGTTCCTGGGCCCAGACCTCAGCCCCTCCCCACCTTGTCCTTGGGGTTGGACCTCCCAGCCAAGTTGCAAGTGCATGAGAAGGGAGAGTCTTGGGGAAGTTTCTGGCTTTGGGCTTAAAAGTGCCAGTATTAACCAAGGAGTCCAAACTCCTGGGTAATGTTTCTGCAAATGCCACTTACCCGGTGACTTTGGACAATATGTTCTCTAACCTGGACGATCGCTGGTCGGTCCCCAGTGAGGGGCACCAAAGCAGACCCCCCAGTCCTGGGGTGGGAGTATACCATGAACTCACAACAGCTGGTGTTGTTGACTGTCCCCTCTCATACAAGCCACACCCTCACCCCCAACATGCATTCATTCAAGTGCTCTGCCCTTGGGCAGTTGAGTGTGGAACTACTGTGATAAATGGGTTCTTTTTATTTACTGACATGAGTGACTTGTTAGGGTCATTTGTGGGTCTTTTGGGTCTTAAGTCCAGCCGCTGTTCTTTTCCATCCTACTCTCTCCTCCTTTCTCTCCCTCCTCACAAAAGCCCCCGCCCCTCACTGGCACAAGGCCACTCATTATGTAAATACCCATGTTGTGTGAAACCTTATCTCAAGTAATTCTCCAACAATTCTGGGAGCTGGGTTTTATTATCCCCCATTTATAGACAAGGAAACTGAGGCACAGAGGGGTGCAACTTACTGCTTTCCTGAAGGTTAAGCAGAGCAACCTAAAACCAACAGTGCAGGGGTGGGGCCCTTGGCCTCAGGGTCCCCTCTCTTGGTCTTTTAGAGAAGGGGGCAGGGAGTGAGGAAGTACCAAGTGTGGCAAAGGGATGGTGTTGTTCAGAGAGGAGCATACAACTGGGAGTCGGGGCTCTGGGTCCTGGCTTTGCTCTGCCCTTAACTTACCGTTTGACCTTGAACTCACTCCTCCTCTGAAACTCATTTCCTCGTCTGCACAATGATGAAGTCAGACTCCAGATTCCTATTGTCTCTCTCATCCTGAAGAAGGTATGAGAGCCTTGGCTTAGGAAATCCTACCTCTCCCAGACCTGCTGCTGCTGGTGACTACATTTGCTGGTCCCTAAAAGAGGGGTGCGGATCTGGCAAGCTCAGATGTGTGTTCCTCTGTGACTCTGGGTGGGGAGCGGGGGCATCAGGGGTGGGAGCCTCACATTCAGGCAGAAGTGTGAAGCTAACTCATTAAGCTTCCAGCCTGCCCCATTGATTTGGTTGCTTTCCTGTCTCTCAATTAGTTCCATCCTCGCTGTGCCAGCCCCTGGGATCTACCCCAAGGTGGGGATGGAGGCACCACATGGGTTTTGGATTGGCTCAGCTTTGGAGGACCCCATCCTCTGTCCCTGGAGGAGAAGCAGGTTTCCCTCTGATTGGGGGAGGAGCTGACAGCATCCTGCTCTTGAAACTCTTGTCACCATGGAAACAAAGAGCCAGGACTGCTCTGTGAACACAGAAAGGGCAGCAGCTTCGCAGGAGCGATCAGAGGAACCTCATTATCGGGCCCTCCTGCCAGCTGGCCTGAATGGGACTGGGGAGTCACAGGGTGTCAGGCCTGCCTCCCCATCCAATACCAGGGGCCACTGTCAATGGCTGCTACCCTATCCCTCTTAGAGTCCACCTGGGAGTGAGTGGCTCCAGAGGGCTGATACCCATTCAGCTGGAGAGGGAAAGGGGAATCAGAAGGAAGAGGTGGGTTTCTGGAAGTTGCTGCTATCCTCACCCCAGCATGTTTGAGATCACAGCTAAGAAACTACCAGCAATATAATGGTTTCAACCCTTAGAGCCCAGTTCCTTGAAAAGCAGCTTTTTCATGCTCTTCCTCATTGTCACCATCACCCATAATCATGCTAGGCTACCCCCATCACCACTGCCCCTCTGGCTGATAGCCAGCCTCAGGCAGGATCACCACCATGGCTGTCATTATCACCGAGGGCCCAATGCTGTTACCACATTTCTGCCACCGCAGCCAGAAACCTCCAGTCCTGTGACACCTGGACCCTCCTTTCACCATCTTCATCCTAGCACTGCTCACACGACAAGTCACCAGCAAAGTTTCCTCTGTCACCTGATGTGTACGTAGACACCTCCTTGGGCTGGTGCCAGGAAGGGCAGTTTTAGAAGATAAAACAAATTGGGTAGTAGCTGTTTGCTGAATCCTTGTGCTTGGACCTGATCTGATTCGTGACCACTGCAGTGAAGTCTCCTTGGTGAATCTTGTCTCACAGACCATCAGAGCCAGAAGACTACTAACTAAAGATTATCTAGACCTGCATTTCCGCCAAGTATATCCCGGCATGCTAGCTCCTTGAAATCCTTTTCTTAAGTAGAATTGGAGGATACTTGTCTGTTCTAGTCCCTACTTGGAGAGTCACAGTGCATAGTGGCCCATTAAAGGGTCTGACAAGTCCTGCAACAAAGAAACCTGTTTTACCTTGTGATAACCCAGCTTTCCCCAAACTTTTTTGATTCAAAAATCCCATGTTCCCTCAAACATCTTCAAACATTTCAAGTTATTTGTTTTTGGAAATCTCCTCAGTGTCCATATGGGGAAATTAAGGCTCAGAAGAGTCTTTCCTAAGGTTGCATAGTGAATTGGCACAGACCTGGGGTGAAAATCATCATCTCCTGATGTCCAGTCTAGTGGAATCACTGTTTCCCATGGTTGTTCCTCAGCAGGAAGCAGGAGGTAATTTTTCCTCTCTGAAAACCATGACACTATTTGATAACCTGCCTTCTTTGCAGCTCTGTTCTCCTCTACGTGGGACATGACTTTCAGAGTCAAGCATAAAAGGTCTAACTGCCCCTTTTCTCCTGCTCCATTCCCAGACACACTTCTGGGAACTGCCGTGTGAATTTTAGATAGTCATCCTGGGGACTTTGGGCTTCCTTCCAAGTCCAAAGCCCAGACAATTCATGGACACGCTACCTCACATCCCTTGGGCCAGGATTCCAAGCATCCTGAGGAGGGCCTCCATCTCCCAGCCCCAGCCTAAAGGGAGGATGCCCAGTGAACTTCTCCACCCTTCTCAAATTATGGGATGGGATCTTAGGGACAACTGGTTCCCATTCCCCTCTGTGCAAGCATCTCTCCTCCAGAGATAGGAAGGTCATAACTTCCTTACACAGGCTGGGGCTTCAGTAGCTTCTTCCTGCTTTGGAACTAAAATTCAAAGTCCTCAGCAGGCCTCTTTGAGCCACACAGCATAAATCTAAACTCAAGGGAGCCCACATTCCCTCTATGCCCCATCCTTCCTATGCTAAGGGCCCCCGCTTCTTCCTCTTGTCCTCCTGTAACTGCTTTTCCTGAACATGCTCCAGTCCAGCCACCTGCTTTGTGCACATGCTCCAAACTGCTGGTATCATTCTTAAAATACGGCGCTCAGAATGGAGTAGCAGGACTCTAGACCTGGGTGATTGAAGATCTGGACTTCAGGATTAGCAAGTCTGGACTGGAGACCTGGTTCTCCCACTAGTCAGCCTTGTAAAAACTCTGGATGTGTCATTGATACATACCTCTTTGAGCCTCAGTTTCCCTTTGATGAATACTTAGCTCTCAGAGATTCCCAGGTGGCTCAGTGGTAAAGAATCAGCCTGCCAATGCAGGAGACACAGGTTCAATCCCTGGGTGGGAAAGATCCCCTGGAGGAGGAAATGGCAACCCACTCCAGTATTATTGCCTGGAGAATCTCCATGGACAGAGGAGCTTGGCAGGCTAGGTCCATGGTGTCACAAAGAGTTGGACACAACTGAGTATGCACATACCTCTGTTTGTACCTAGCTCTCAGAATTGTTTTGGGAATGAAATCAGGTAATGTGAGTAAAATGTTTGACACAGTGAGTGCATAAGTGCTCACACATGGTAACTGTTATTAAGATCATCATCAAAATAGGACCATCACTTGATTTGACTTCTGTGTTAGCCAAACTAAGATTAAAGTAGCTTTTTTAGTGCCAGAGCCACCAAACTACTCTCAAAAGTTTGGAGACACCTGAAATCTTGAGGAGCTCCTGCCTGTTAACCTGTCAGCCCAGGTTAACAGTGAGAGCAGTTGATTATCTGAACCAATAGAGTTCTTTGCATTTAGCCCTGTTTGAGTTCATATTCTTATTCAAGATGGGGGTGGAGGGGGGGGATCCCAGTTCAACCTGGCCTCAGCTTTCTGCCTCACCTCTTTGGTGTCTCTTACTGGCAGCCTGTCACTCCAGACCTGCTGATGACCCCAAGCGACCAGGGCGATGTAGACCTGGACGTGGACTTTGCTGCAGACCGGGGGAACTGGACAGGCAAGCTGGACTTCCTGCTGTCCTGCATTGGCTACTGTGTCGGCCTGGGGAACGTCTGGCGTTTTCCCTATCGAGCCTATACCAATGGAGGAGGTATGAGTCTGATGCCTGCGTGAGGGGCGTCGAGGCCAGTGGACCAAGGCTCAGGGTGGAGCGAGGTTTTACTTGACCTTGGCCACTGTCCCCTGTGTGACCCTGGGCTGAATTAGTTGAAAGCGGTGACCTGGGCTGGAAGTAGGAGCTCACCCTGCCTCATCCCTTTTCCTCTCCCAGTCCCTTCCTTCCTCTCTCATCCCCAGTGTGGATACTCACTCAATTCTCTCCTTAAGCCTTGGCACTTCCTGGGCCCTGAGTGATGGGCAGAGGGGGCTGCCTCTGCTTTGTGATAAAGGGCTGTACCTGCCTGTCAGTGGTTACTATGCTCTCAATATTCTCCCCATCCCTTCCTCTCCCACCTCACCTCCCTTGGAACCTCACTCCATCAATCAGTTACTCCTGGGTTCTTAATCTTCAATCTAGCTTTGCCTCTTGGTTCCTTCCTTTCAAGCTGCAAATACAACATCTTTTCCATCTTAAATTCTCTGTCCCTGCTTCTTCATCAAGTGGCTATTCTAAGTCTCACCACCAATAGCTGGGGTTGAGCACTCACCATCTGCCAGGCCTCAGGCCTGCCTCACTTAACCCTGATGACAATCACCTGGGTGGGCACTGTTGTCTTGATGAGGCAACTGTGCTTGGAGAGGCCAGGTTCCTTTCCCAAGGTCACACAGTGGCGACCCAACGTTCTACCCCAGGGTTATCATCTCCGGAGCCAATCTGTTCCTCCCAGCACTCCGTGTCTCCTTCCATGTCTACCAAACTCCTTAAAGAAGCACATATTGGCAGAGCAACAGAAATGCAAGTGAAACTAGATGAAGCGGGGACAAAATGAATTGGGACGATGGGGAAGTATGGGATGAGTGCTAGCCTCTGAAGCTCCAGGAACTCAGGGAAGTCCACAGTGGTTTCTGCCCTCCCTCTCCCTGGTTCCCGAGGCTTTATCTCTCTGTGTGCTGACCTCATTTTTCCCTGGATCAGACTTCCTCCCTACAGGTGTGTCGGGGGTGGCCAAAGACAAGTATGGAATGACTTCCTTCTCAGAACTGTTCCCTCTGAATGAATCTATGCTGAATTGCAGGGAAGGTCTCTAATTGGCCTGCCTTGGGATATGTGCCCAGGAAGGGTGGGCAGGGGTTGGCTGGTGTGACTGGCAGCCCTTCCAGAGCCATATGGTGGTGGGCAGTCCTGTAAAGGAGCTAGCTGCCAATATGAGAAGAAAAGGAGGAGGGATGCTGGGCACAGGCGACTACAGGTGGCAGCCACAAGCATCTGAGGTGGCATTGGGAGGAGGGGAGGAGCAGGTAGACAGGAGCCAGATTCTAAAGGTCATCGATTTCTGTACTGAGGAGTTTGTACTTTATCTGGCAGGGAATGCATTCGTTCATTCACTCATTTGTTCATTCATTCACTCAACGTCTGCTCTGAGCCCAGAGCTGGCCTGGGCACTAGGGCTACAGAGGTAAGTAAATCCGCATACATCCACTTGGCCCTCAGTGATCTCCTGACAGAAAAGAAGACAGTCCCGCAATGCCCAGCCCCAGGTGAGAAGTGAAGGTGTCTGCCAGTCATTGGGGGGGCGGGGCTACAGCTAGGCTTTCAGGGGAGCTGACCCCCCATCCCTAGACCTTCCCCGCCCTCCCTCCTCCTTGCAGGCGCCTTCCTTGTGCCCTACTTCCTCATGCTGGCCATCTGCGGCATCCCCCTCTTCTTCCTCGAGCTCTCTCTGGGCCAGTTCTCCAGTCTGGGACCCCTGGCCGTCTGGAAAATCAGCCCGCTCTTCAAAGGTGAGGCCTTGGGGGCGGCGATGTTGAAAGCCCGGGGGAGGCAGGGAGGGGGGTGAACTCTAGCAGGGGAATGGCTTCCCTGTCCTGAAGGCCGCCCCTGCCCATCGCAGGTGCCGGTGCGGCCATGCTGCTCATCGTGGGCCTGGTGGCCGTCTACTACAACATGATTATCGCCTACGTGCTCTTCTACCTCCTGGCCTCCCTCACCAGCACCCTGCCCTGGGAACACTGTGGCAACTGGTGGAACACGGACCTCTGCCTCGAGCACAGAGGCTCCACGGACGGCAATGGGGCTCTGCCCCTCAACCTCACCAGCACTGTCAGCCCCAGCGAGGAGTACTGGAGGTCAGGCCGCTGCTGGCCCAGCAGCAGGCAGGGAGGGACAGAGGGTGGGATTGTGCCCGTGCTCCTATGGGGCTCTACATGCACCTCAAAGGTTGAGTTCAGGTGCTGTGTTGGATGGACTCTGAGTTCTAATCCCAGTTCTTCACCTGACCAGCTGTGTGACCATGAACAATTTATTTGGCTTGTGATGCTTATCTTTGAATCGGGTGTGATAGTATATGAAGGCTACTGTGAGGATTAAGGGAAAGAAGGCATATAAATTGTGCTGCTCAGCCTGGTGGATAGTGAGTGCTCAATAAATGCTAGCTGATAGTAATGATGCTGATGATAATAGTCATTGTCAACATGTGGAGCCTCAGTTTCCTCTTCTGTATAAGGGGCAGTAAGAGTCCCTGCTTCATAGGATGGTATCAGTCAGTCACTCGTTTTTTCATTCAATCTGTGTTTATTGAGCGCTGACTATATTAGTAGGCAAAACACTTAGCAGAGACCATGGTCACACAGACCATCTCCGGTTAGTCTAACAGGAGAGAGGAGACTCTAGGAGAGTATAGGGTTGCTTGAGAATGACATGGGTAACTCAGAACCAGCCATATCACGAGCCCCTGTGAGTGGTGGGGGTCAGAAGGGCATCACTGCCCACTGACCTGTCCCAAAGTCCCACTTTATAGCTGAGAAAACAAGGCCTGGGGGCTTGCTCAGTACTTACTAGCAGAGGCAGTACTGGAACCAAGGCCTCCTGATGCCTGGTCCTGTTCTGGAACATTCCAGAGTAGCCTTGTTCCTAGGTAGGGACCACTGGCTGAACAAAGGACACAGACCAGATAACCATACCCCTTTGCCTGCAAAAGGCTACTCTCAGGAGTTTTCTCCCAAATGAGCCCCATGTTTTTAAAGGTTTTAGCCTCCAACCTGCATTTATTACATAGTTCATTCATTTGTCCATTTGAAATGAATCTAAAGTGTCTGCACCTGCTGAGGAATATATCTGACCAGTGGAGAACAGGCTTGGGTCTGCAACCAAAAGCCAAAGAACGTGACATGGTCACTGGCAGCTGCCTAGGGTCTCTGGCAACACCATGGCCTGCTGCATCACTTGGGGAGCAGGCAGGAAGCAGATGGCACTGTCAGAGGGCTTCACTGAAGGGAGTTGAGTGAGTGGAGGGACTTCACAGGGGTGAGGGATCCACATGGAAATGTGAGGCACCAAGGGCTAGCAAGAGAGACAGTCATATCACCCCTGAGGCAAGGAGGCAGTGTTATCAGAACCAGGGCAGATTGAAAGCCTCATAGGAAGGGCCACCTAACCAGCTGTGCTGTAGAAAAGGTAGTCACAGCCAGACCCTCTGATGGTGTGCAGGTGTGCATGCTTACACGTGTATACACGCATGTACGCAAATACCCGAACCCATCATCCAGTCTCCTGCTGTTGCCTCCCATTAGCCAGACCCATGTGGAAACTGAAGAGGAAGGAGCCCGGGTGACAGTGTCTCTAGAGGCCCAACTCCTGGGTGCAGAGCTGATCAGAGAAGGACGGAGAGGAATCAAGCAGAGAACAGCCAGGATAGGCTTGTGGGCTGGCCACGGCTTCACTGTGTGTCTATGGAGCATGGCAAGGGGACCAGAGGACATTCAGGCCTTGTCTCCCACAGCCGCTACGTCCTCCACATCCAAGGAAGCCAGGGCATCGGAAGTCCCGGGCACATCCGCTGGAACCTCTGCCTTTGCCTGCTGCTCGCCTGGGTCATCGTGTTCCTCTGTATCCTCAAGGGTGTGAAGTCCTCGGGCAAGGTGAAGCTGGGAGGCCTTGGAGGCCTGAGAGGCTGGGAAGGGTGAGGGCTTCCTGGAGGAGGCAGGGTGTGGACTGAACCTGAGAGGATGAATGGACTTCAGCTGGGAAGAGGGGAAGGGATAAGACATTGAGACTGGGGAAGGGGGAGGCACTGCCTGAAGCAAGATGTGGAGATGGGGCTGGATGGTGGCTAAACTGGTTCACTAGACTAGAAACAAGCCAAGGCAGGACCTATCTGTTATTCAAGCTCTTATCCTAATCTAGTGCTTGACACTTTGGAGAAGCTCAGCAAGTGTTTGTTGAATGCCTGGAGGGTGGGCATGAGTTATAGCTCTTTGAAATGCAAGGACTAGAAGCCAGTTGTCACACTCAGTTGGAAAGTCCAGAGGGTCTATTGCAGGTACAGCTGGATTTAGGGGTTCAGATCAGGAATGTTGTTCTCTTGGTCTCTCAGCAATGCTTTCCTCCAGATTGACTTCTCAGGCTTCATTCTTCATGAGGTTGCCCCTAGCAACTCCAGGCATACATCTTTCCTACTTAGTGTTCTCCCTTGCCCTAGGTTTCAAAAATCCTAGAATTGAGTCTCACTGGATAGATGGGTCTTAGACTTATCTCTGGACCAGTCACCCTGGGCAGAAGGGTGGAGTGCTCTGCTTGGCTGGGCCTGGAGCTGGAAATTGAATCAGTCCCAGGTGGAAAAGTCAGGCAGCTGTTATGTGAAAAAGACCAGCTAGAAGCTGGGAAGACAAAGCCCACTGTAGCTTATGGAGGGCAGGAAAGGCCATAGAGCTGTTTTAGGAGTTGGAAACCTTCTGAGTGGTTTACTCAATCATTTATAAATTAGAACTTATCTCTCTGCAAAGTGCTGAGAGATGTTGTCCATGAGGAAACAAACCATTAAAAGAAAGGTTAGAAAGCATGGAGACCATTAGAAAGCCAGGAGAGGTCATCATGGTGCAAGCCAAGGCAGTGAGGGGCTTGGGACTTGGTGTTTGCTGAGGGTGAAGTTGGAGGCTTGGGAACAGGTGAGGACAGGACAGAGGAGAATTGGGACATGTCCAATGTCTGATGACTATGCAGGCTGGGTTTGTGTGGGAGGAGAGGAGGGGTGGGGAGCCTGGACCAGGGCGCAGAGCTGGACAGAGTGGATAGGTGGGAATAGCCCTGGGAAGCAGTGATGTGTGGTGGGAGTGAGGGAAGAAAGGAGAACATCATAGATGGTGGCTGTTTCCAACTTGGGCTACGTGAAGGTTAGGGAGGTGAGTCAGTGAGATGGGGGTTTCAGTAAGAGGAGGAGAGAAGAGAGAAGGTCACTCCTTCTGTCCCCATGTACTGTCTCTCAGGTGGTGTATTTCACGGCCACGTTCCCCTACCTCATTCTGCTCATGCTGCTGGTCCGCGGAGTCACCCTCCCTGGGGCCTGGAAGGGCATCCAGTTCTATCTCACCCCTCAATTCCACCACCTGTTGTCTTCCAAGGTGAGACCCTCAAGGCAAGCATGTAAAGGGAGACGTCAGGCTACAGAGTGGAAGGAAGACTCCCTTGGGAAAGGGAGTGGGGGGAGGGCCTTCCACATGGTGAATCCCCTGTACCAGACACTGTGCTTGGCACTGTGTGTCTTTCTCCTTTATTATTATACACGATCCTATGCAGTAGACATTATTCTCCCATTTTACAGATGAAGAAACTGAGGCCCCAAAGAATTAGCAGATCACACGGCTAGGGAGCAGCAGAGTTGGGATTTCCACCCAGACCTGCCTCTAAAACCTAAGGAGGGTATTAGTAATAATAATAGAAACAATGGTCCTGACAGCTAGCATTCTTATTTGTTGGTGGATGACTATGCCTGCCCCTACTCTAGCATTGTGCATAATGTAGTCATGTGATCCTTACCACCAGCCTATGAGGCAGGTACCATTCCTATCCCCTCAGTACAGACGGGGGACCTGGGGCCCAGAGAGGTAATTGGCCCGGACAGTCTGCACAGCTTGAAAGTGGGGGAACTGGGATTCAAATCCAGGTTCCTCCAACTCTAGAGAGGCAGTAAAAGGGTTACAGGGGCTGATTGTCAGTACACATCTACTGAAAATTTATACAAGGCATTACTTTCTTCAGAACTGGACCAAGCTTAGAGAGTATCTTCTAGATCCTAGATGGGGAAACTGAGGCCCAGAGAGATGAAGGAACTTGACCAAGTCCTGCAGTGTTAGAGCGGGCTTTGCTCCCAGATGCTGTCACTCATTAGCCAGGCCCTTCACCACAGCATCCCTGGGCCTGTCAACCGGCTCTCACCCTACCTCCTTCCCTCTCTGGGCACCACGGTGTGCCAGCCTCTCCTCTCTGCCCTCCCTCTGCATCCTTCTCTGCCACAGGTGTGGATCGAAGCTGCTCTTCAGATCTTCTACTCCTTGGGTGTGGGCTTCGGGGGGCTCCTCACCTTTGCCTCCTACAACACATTTCACCAGAATATCTATAGGTCAGTGCTGCCTCCCAGACCCCGGCGGCTGGAGTGGGTAGGAGAGTGGCTGGCCGGGGAGGGCCTTGTGGGTGAGGACTGGGGCCACTCACCCCAGCCTGTGCTTGGACTTCTCCTGGCAGAGACACCTTCATTGTCACCCTGGGCAACGCCATCACCAGCATCTTGGCTGGCTTTGCAATCTTCTCCGTGCTGGGCTACATGTCTCAGGAGCTGGGTGTACCTGTGGACCAAGTAGCCAAAGCAGGTGGGCAGGCTGCCTGGCCCTGGTGGGTGGAGGGTGCATCGGGCACAGCTGGGTTGGGCAAGTGAGCATACATGTAGACCAGCAAGGCTTTGGATGGGTATGGTGTGTGTGTGTGTGCATGCATAGCATGCATGCAAATGAATGTGTCTGAACTGTTTTCTGAGTGTTCAAGTGCAAAAGGATGGGTGTGCAAATGAGTATGTATCAACCTGTGTCTGGAGAGAAGTGACTTTCTGGAGGAGATTGTTGTGTTTTGTCACATCTCAGGAACTTGCCTTGCTCGTCCAGATGAGTCACATCCTGTATGGAGATGCCTGTGTAAGTGAACTGAGGGTTTGGATGATGTTGTGAATCACTGTCTTGTGCCAATGGGAGTATCTGAGTGTGGTGTGTACATGGAACTGTTTGTGCAAATGATTGTTCACGTAAGTGTATTCAAATGAGGGTTTATATTTGGTCTTGTGTTTACTCATGTACTCATAATTAATTTATTTTTTTTATCAACCTGTGTTTATGGAGCACGGACAGTGTGCTGGCCTGTGTCTTAGGAGTTAAGAAAGTGTTGGAAGTGTGCAGTGAGTGTACATCTCTGGGTTTGGCCCATGTGGGTGTAAGTAGTAACCATGTGTTTTTAAGTACATATGTGGGGCCCCCACGTTCCCCAGGCTGCTGACCCCGTGTGCCCTTGGCCCAGGCCCTGGCCTGGCCTTTGTCGTCTACCCACAGGCCATGACCATGCTGCCTCTGTCACCCTTCTGGTCCTTCCTGTTCTTCTTCATGCTGCTGACTCTCGGCTTGGACAGCCAGGTGAGCTGCCCATGCCAGTGGGTGTGCCTTGTGGTACGTGTCTGCAATGTGTGTCTGTCTCGCTGCATGAGTTATCTGTGTGTGATGTGGGTGTCTCTGTCTGTATGTGTATCTATGTTTGTGTGTATCTGTCCAAGTGTGAAATGTATGACTGTGTATCTGAGTATGTCTTCACGTGATGTTGCTGTGTGTATGATATGTGTGATGTGTGGATGATATGTGTGTGTTGTGTGTGTATCTGGATCTGTGGGATGTACATCTCTGTGTGTATTTGTATGTGTGTGGTGGGGGCAGAACTCTGACCCCCTTCCTCCCCCCAGTTTGCCTTCTTGGAGACCATTGTGACAGCTGTTACGGACGAGTTCCCGTACTACCTTCGGCCCAAGAAGGCTGTGTTCTCGGGGCTCATCTGCGTGGCCATGTACCTGATGGGGCTGGTCCTCACCACAGATGTGAGTGGTGCTGTGGGGTGGGCGGACAGCTGGTGGGCAAGGCTGGGGCAGACACCCGCAGTTCTGTCTGTGGCCAGGCCAAACACGCCCCAAGCTACCTGCCTCTTCCTCTTTGGGAGGAAGCTAGTCCAGCCCAGACCCTCTTTCTCAAGAGGCAGCTTGGCCTATGACCCAGAGTTCTGATTTTGGAGTCTGAAAAGTCTTCAAGCCTTATTCCTGCACTTGATGAGTGACCTTGGGACAAGTGGCTTCACCTCCCTGAGCCTGTTTTCCCACTGATAAAGTGGGGTCTACATATAGGCTATAGGCTTGTTGTGAGACTCAAATCGGATGGTGTGTATAGAGGGCTCGGCAGGCAGACAGCAGTCACACTCTCACCATCTTGCTCTCTCTACTGGCCTGCCTGCTCCCTGCTCACTTCCTGCCTGAAGAAGGGGCAGCAATGGGGATCGAGGCTGGGATGTGGGCACTCCAGAGCTGTGATTTGTGTTCCAGGGGGGCATGTATTGGCTGGTCCTTCTGGACGACTACAGCGCCAGCTTCGGGCTGATGGTGGTGGTGATCACCACGTGCCTCGCTGTCACCCGGGTGTATGGTGAGAGGGGCTGTGGGAGGCGGAGTCAGGCTCCCCGCTGTGGGAGAATGGGAGTCTACCCTGGAGCCCCCCTGCACTGGGTCCCTGGTCCTAAGGGCCAGGGTTTCTAGTGGGGGCAACTGGTAGGAGGAGGGGCTGATAGTGCTTGTGGGGCTGCGGGTGGGGCCATTTCCCTCCTTTCCCCGTGCAGGCATCCAGAGGTTCTGCCGGGACATCCACATGATGCTGGGCTTCAAGCCGGGCTTCTACTTCAGGGCCTGCTGGCTGTTCCTGTCCCCAGCCACGCTCCTGGTAACCAGGGTGGAAGGGAGGGCTGCTGGCTAGGGGCTCAGGGGTGAGAGCAGGGCCCCTCTGGGCATTCAGTCTGGGAGGACTGCCCTGGCCCTCAGTGGACCTCTGTCAGGGCTGGGGGATAGAGTGAGTACCAGGATCCTGGTCTACTCCCCTCTCCCATGGTGCCCCCAGCTTTTGTAGCTGTGCTGGGCCTGGCCCTGTGTTTGATTAGCAGAATGAGTGGGGCTTTCTTAGGCTTCAGAGCTTTAGGGCTGGGGTGGTGAGGCTGTGCTTCTTAGCCTTGGATTTGGAGCCGCTCAGGGATAGGCCGCCTCAGACTTTGGCATTGGGTCAGCTTTGGACAGGGCTGTCTCAGGATTTGCAAAGGCTCCAAAGATGGGCCAGCTCAGGTTCTGGTATAGCTTAGGACTGGGCTTTCTCAGAGACTGGGTGGCTCTGGGCTGGGCTCTCTCAGGCCTTGGGATGGCCCTAGGCTGAGCTATCTCAGGCTTTACAGTAGCTCAGACTTGGGCTATCCCAAGCCCTGGGGCCTGCCTGAGGCCCTCTGTGACACTCGGAGCCCCCACCTGCAGGCCCTGCTGGTGTATAGCATCGTCAAGTACCAGCCCTCAGTGTATGGCAGCTACCGCTTCCCAGCCTGGGCGGAGCTGCTGGGCATCCTGATGGGCCTGCTGTCCTGCCTCATGATCCCAGCTGGCATGCTGGTGGCCGTGCTTCGAGAGGAGGGCTCGCTCTGGGAGGTGAGTCTGCCCCACCCCTGCTTGCCCCCAGCCCCTAACCCCATGGCCCTGCTCTGCGCCCAACCTCTAGAGCACACAATCTCTGCTCCAACACCTTTTTCAGGGCCTGCAGAGTGCTTTTAACTGGGAAGAGCATTTTTTCCTAACCAGTAGCCCGAGTTGTGAATCAGCTCTGATCAGCTTGAGCTACAGCAGGCTCTGAGAGCCAGAGTCCTGTTCTATGACCCCTCATACCACACGGAGCCTCTGGCAGGGGAGGGGTGCGATCCAGAGACCACTAATGTTGGTCAATGCCCACCTGTCCTGGGGGAACCTGAAAGGACAAGGGGTTTATCCACCATCCCATGGTGAGTTGTGCATGGGTCAGAACTTGAACTTGGGTTGCTAGCTTTCCTATGGAACTCAGGGTCTGAAGCAACATGGAGGGACCCCAAGGATGAGCTGTCACCCTTCTCCAGTGACCAGGAGCCCTGCCCATGGCCAGGGTTTTGTGGGGAGACCCAGGAAGCACACAGAGTGCAAGCCGTTTGGCATGGGATTCTGTAGGCTCAGAATATGGGAGTAGGGGCCCTCTGTGGGTCAGTGGACATGCCAGGATGCTGTGTGTCTGCTGGAGACCCACCCCCTCTGAACCTCAAGGGCCCTGCACACACTGAATCCTCCATTTCTGAGGGAGTGGGCGGGGAGTCCTCTGGTGGCAAGAGGGTTTCAGAGTGAGCAGGGCTGAGTGAGCATGCTAGGGCCCAGAGACAGCCTTGGGACACACACACATACATGCCCACCATCAGAAGTGTGCTAGACCCACCAGCACTGCTTCATGAGAGCTAACTGTTAAATATTCAGGAAAACTGTGAGCCAGTGGTTAAATCATTGATAACCTGAAATTGACAAGGGTGGGAATAATTATAACAGTGAAATTGGCTAGGAATCAGGACTCCTGTACCCCTCCACTCCTCCCCAGCCTGCTAACCAGCACACTGCTGCCCACCTGCTCATTCACCTTCACTGTTCCTTGGCTGTCCCTCATCCCACCTTCCAGTTTCTGAAATGAAGCTCAGAGCCCTTCACTGGCAGAAGTGGATTGTGGTCACACAGCACAGACCACAGAGGAGTCCTAGGGTCCAGCCACGGCTCTGTCTCCAACTGCTGTGTGACTTGAGGCCAACCCCTGCCCTCTCTGAACTGCAGGAGCCCCACCTGTGCTACTAAAGGAAGGTTGTCTCCATGTTGAGAGCCAGGGTGTCTGCGAAGGGAAGGAGGAAGTCTGTGGTGCCCAAGCCTGGCTTTGTCTCCCTCATGTCCTGCTGCCGCCACCACCCATAGCCAGGCAGAGGGGCCAGGGCACTGGGGCTTCTGTGAGTCCCACAGAGGAGTCACAGTCCAGCTCAGGGGTGCCACCTTCAGAGACCAGGGCTCCCAGCACTGACACACTAGGATAGGACTCCTGGGGCTGCCACTTGCCAGCTTTGGGATCCTAAGCAAGGGAATGCCCCTCTCTGAACCTTGCTTTCTCTGTCTTTAAAAGGAGGGCAGTGTCCTTACCTGTCAGGGGACTTGCAATGATCACGAAGGTGGTTTTCCAGGGTGTGGTTCATCCACTGCACTCCAGATGTGCTGACCCCTGTGATTTCCCCAAGTGTAGAAAACTCAACTGCATAATTTGTGGTAGTGGGGGACTGAGTTCACGCTCTCCTTAGGAAAAAAAGGGGAAAAAATGAGTATAGTGATACCTGCCCGTAGGGTTGCTGTGAGAAGAAAAAGCTCATCAACATAGTCAGTACTGTAAGACACAGAAAAACAGGGTATTTTTCAAGTTCAGGATGTGGTCAAGACTGCCTGGGTTCAAACACTAGCACCACCACTTCCCCCCATGCGACCTTGGCCAGTTTAACTAATTCTTTCAGATAGTATCTGTGGGGCTGTAGGTAATAATACCCTCTCACTGGGATGTTCTAAGGATTAAATAAGCCCATCCTCAGCACAGAGCTGGGATGCACGAGGCTCAGTTCTAAGCCAGTTCAAAATCGCCTCAAAATCCGGGGTGATTTTGCCTTTAGGGGACATTGGGTAACGTCTGGAGATTTTTGATTGTCCTGAGAGGGTATGGTTGGAGGAAGAATGCTACTGGCACCTAGAAGTCAGGCATCCTGCTACACACTGTTGAGTGTGCAGAACTCCTCTCTGACCACAGTGTCAGCAGGGCTCTCAGGTTGAGAAACCTGGTCTAGACACTAGAATGCAGCTGGAAAGAAATTTCAGTCCTTAAACTCAGGGAGCTGGTATTTTAATGCAGGAGACAGACAATAAACAAACATATGAAGGCAGTGGTAAGTGTTCTTAAAAACTACACCAAACCAGAATACAGGAATAGAGAGTGAAGGAAGTTCTGGCCAGGGTGACCAGGGGAGACCTCCCTGAGGAGGTGATAGAGACCTGACTACATCACCAAGGTGATTAGTTTAGATGTCTAAGGGGAGAGCATCCTAGGCAGAAGGACAGTCAATGCAAAGGCCCTGAGGCAGGAGGGGCTAGCATGTTTGAGGCCAGCAAGGAGGTCAGTGAGACTGGATCAGAGTTGGAAGACAGAGTGTGGCAGGAGCCAACATCATAAAGATAGACTGGGGCCAAGACATGAAGGCCAGGTGAGCACTTTGGATTTCATCCCAAGTGAGATGACAAGTTTTTGGCAGGTTTCTGATCAGTGGGGTAACATGCTTTCAATAAACACATTTTAATGGACATTACTATGCTTTGAGTATGGGGCGATGTAAGGGCCTTAGCCCAGGGCTCACATACATTATCTCCCTCGGAATCTACACCCCATGGCTCCACTTACTGTTGGTATCTTTCTTCACTGAAGAGTCTGGGGCTCTTCGTCCTGGCAGGGCAGGCAGAGAACTTTGGGAATGTGGTTTGAGGAAGATGAAACCCTATAATGTCCAGGCTTAGTCATCATCTTAGTCAGCTCCCTCCTTCCATGGAAACTGGGCTGGGAGAGGGAAAGGTTAGACATCAGAGTAAAACAGAGGCAGGGTGTCAGAGAAGGCCACTCTGGGGTTTCCCTGGTGGTCCAGTGGTTAAGACTCCATGCTTCCAATGCAGGGGATGTGGATTCAATCCCTGATCAAGGAACTAAGATCCCACATGCCACCCACTGTGACTAAATGGTCACTCTGTCTCCACCCTCCTAGGGCATGGGTGTCCCACCAAAGCTCCCAGCTCTTCAAGACTCAGCATTTAGGGGAAGGGACCCAGAGTGGACTCCCAGACTGCCTGTCATGTAACCACAACAACAGCCACCATTTACTGGGCCTTATTCTGTTGCCAGTACCCCGCTGAGAGCTTCATCTCACTGCCTTACTAACCATCCTTTGAAGGCATCCTGTTTCCCAAGTTACAGATGCTGGAAGCAGAGCTTAAATTTCATGCCCAAAGACCACCCACCCAACTTATGAGCTGCAGGGCAGGATCCTCTCCACTCATGTGACACTCCTCTGGGGAAGTGACAGTGCCCCCTCCCTTTCCCCCAGATTTTGCCAAGACTAACCCAGGTGACTTGGTGAGGGTTTTGCCAGTGCTTAGCCGCAGGAAGCACTCCATCAGCCCTGGTTCTCACCCCTGTGGTTGCTTTGCTGCAGCGGCTTCAGCAGGCGAGCCGGCCGACCATGGATTGGGGCCCATCACTGGAGGAGAACCGGACAGGCATGTACGTGGCTACGCTGGCTGGGAGCCAGTCACCCAAGCCCTTGATGGTGCACATGCGCAAGTACGGGGGCATCACCAGCTTCGAGAACACGGCTATCGAAGTAGACCGTGAGATTGCAGAGGAGGAGGAATCCATGATGTGACGGAAGGAAGGCAGACATCAGGCCCTGTCGGCCCCCAAGGGGAGCGGCACACCCTCTGGGGTTCTGAGAGGCCTGAGGCTGTTGGAGGCTGCCATGGTGATGCTGGTCCCCAAAGCAAGTCCTTCTTTGTGACCTCTGCCTCTCCCAAAACCTCTGTCTGCTCCCTACACACACACAGACATTCAAAGCTGAGATGAGCCAGCTCAGCCCTTCCTTCATGGACAGACAGACTGAGGCCAAGGAGAAGGGACTTACCCAAGGTCACATGGCAGACGGGACTGGACCCCAGGCCTCCTAACCAGCTAGCTCCCTTTCTCACATGGCAGCTGGCACCACCCGCTCATCTCTGTTCAGGACTCAGTCCCCTCTCTTCCCCTAAGGGAGCCTGCCCCATACACTTCAATGCAGCCAGAATCTGGAGCTGGGCAGGGACACTTGGGTGTCCCAAGGTTCGTGAGGCCCTATCAAGGGTTAGCAAGTCAAGTGGGAGAAAGATCCCCATGGGGTCACGGGTGCAGGCCAAGTTTCCTAAAGGAGGTGGGGCCTGAGGCCCTGGAGGATGGGCAGATTTGGAGAGAGAGAGAAAAAGAGGAGGGCAGGGTGGGGAGGGCCTCTGACCAAGGCGCTCACCCAGCCAAGGTGGGGTTAGAATATGGCCCCCTTTTCCTCCCCTGGGGCCAGGAGGCAGTCCAGGGAGTGACCAAGGGCACGTGAGCAGGGAGAATGGTGGGAGAAGCAAGTGTTTTCAGGTTGCAACAGGATTCGGGTACGAATGTAGACCGAGGGGGTGGGGGAGGCAGGGACGTGGGTAGGCAGGCCATTTGCATGACCCTGTGCTCTAGACAGAATATATTTCTGGCTCAATGCAGAGGGCAGAGGTGGGAAGCCTGCTGAGGACAGAGCATAGGGCCAATGCCTAAGGTGGGGGTGTTAAGCGGGTGGAGGGAAGGGAAAGGAGGAGGACCCCACAACTTCCCTCACTGGACCCCACTTCCTCCTGTGCAGGGAGCCGTGGACACGATTAGGACTGGGGGAGGGGGTACCTGCCCTGCCCTGTGGAGGTGGAGACAAGGGGTCACAGTCAGGACCGAGGGCCCCCCCTCCTCCCCTCTTCCTTGTCCTGGCAGCCCTCACTGTCTCCACCGGCTCCAGGCATTGCTGGGGAATTGACCTTGGCTATGGACCACCAGGCAACTAAGAGACTTGGAGCTGGTTCACACACATGACTGTCTGGTCCCAATGCTGCCCACTCTGCTTCAGCATGCGGGTCCCTGGGCGTGGACATGAGGGTAGAGGCAGAGAGCAACCGACACCCCAGGCCTGTGACCTGGGGACAGGTTGCCCAGAGACGTTGGCGTCTTCAATCCCCAGGCATGGGAGGGGCTGCCCTAGGGTCCCTCCTTCCCTGAAGGATGAGGGTGGGGTGGGAAAATGCCTGAGCAGGTTCCCTGCACAGGGCATCCTCTGTGGGGCAGGGAGGCCTGGAGCAGTTGTCCAGCCTCTGTGCTCTCTCTCTCCCCGCCAATGTCTCCCCAGCTCATCTGTGTCCTGTTGGCTTATTGTTAATAAACACCAGTGAAGTCATCTTCCTTACCCTGTCTCCTTGCCACTGAGAGCCACAGGGTGGGCAGCACGGAACTTTCTGGTTCTCAGTGGACAGATAAGGAAACTGAAGCTCAGTGGCCTCCTTTCCTGGCCCTCCTGGCCTGACACTAGCTTTGCGATTTGTCCACGGCAGTGGTGGGTGGGTGGGGCTTAGGAAGGATGATAAAGAAGGTCCTTAATGACCATTTAGTCTCCCATTATACATATGGACAAACCAAGGCCCACCAAGGGGTAGAGACTTGCTCAAGGCTACCCAGTGGAGATAGGCAGAGCCGGGGACAAACCAGGGCCCACCAGTCCTCTTCTTTTCCCTGGCTGGCTGTCCTCCTTCCCTCCCCAGGTCTTCCTCAGCCTTACCTGCAGTAGCAGCTAGAGCTCCAATAGAGGGACTGGGAGGAGCCAAGAGTTTCCCAGGCTGGAAGAATTTCCTGGTTCTACCCACCCCCATCTGGCAGGACCTTGCCAATATAAAAGGGCCCCAGGGCCTTTCAAATGCGAGGCCCAGGTGTCTGCAAAGGCTTTGATTGGGGTGGAGAGGAGGGGCTGCTGCATATTTCGGATATTAATAAATTTCCCCTAACAAAGGGTCAGAGCCCCCTCCGCCTCACCCCCCTTTGGGACTCTAGGTGGGGGACGAGATGGGTTTGCTAATTTGCAAAGGATGCAGGAATGGCCATCACAATTCAGAAGGCTTCTTCCCACACCCTGGGGGTGGGGGTGGGGGTGGGCTCAAACCTTGCTCATAGAGCCCCTGGTGCCCAGCCTGCTCAGAGCTGCCCTGGCCCTGGAGGAAGCATGCTCAGGACTTAATCTAGGATTGAGCCTGGGCTCTAGGACTGAGCTGTAGGCCTGGGTGCTGGGAGTCAGGAATGGAGGATCCTAAGAGTTTAGGCTTTTCTTTTCCTAGATTCCAAGTCTGCATTTGGAGGATTTGTAGGTTTCTACAGACCGCCACCAGCTTCAGCCTCACTCACCTGCCCTGCTTCCTCCTGCCTCTGCAGCTCCTGGACTGTTCTCCCTGGCCCAGTCTTCCAGTCTTTCCTGCTCTTCCCATTTCCACTGCTCCCACAGCCTTCCCTGCCACAGCACACTCCTGCTCCCTCTGCTGCCCAACACCATGTCCCCACTGCCCCCATCCTTGTCCCCATACTGACTTCATATCTTCCCCGCCTTATACCAGATGCCAGTTAGGCCCCGATTGCAGTGGGAGTTGATTGGGGATCAGGGACCCACAGCTGGAGGAAACCCTGACAGCACAGTTCTCACTTGAGAGAAGACATCGGCCCTGTCTGGAGTAGAACCCTAGCCTGGAATCCTAGAATGTCCCAGCAGGTGCCAAACCCAAGTGCCTACAGGGCAGGGAACCTGGGCGAGCAAAGCTGTAGGTGTGAGTGGGACAGTAAGTGGCAGCTGACCCTTAGTGAGTGTTAGAGAGACAAGAGGGCCTGGTGCGGATTGTGGTGATCTGGGAAAGAAGGTCTGTCTCTCTAAAGGCGCAGCTACCCCTCAGAAGCGTGGGCCCAGGTTGCCAGATATTCTGGGTTTTTAAGAGAAGAGGGAAATCTGGAGTTTTACAAAATATGTCCCATTTAAAAATGATTCAGAAGATATAAAGCAGCATGGCTCAATTAAGGCCTCCTGTTGGGCCTTCAATGCAGGCCAACAGCTTGGCAGACTTAGGGGCTTAGCAGTCAGAGAGGCAGGGCTTGCCTGAGAATTCCCAGTGAGAATGACCTAGAGTGCAGCCCCGCCCAGGGCGCCCCACACCTACTCAGCCCTCTGCTTCCTGTCTTAGTTGATCTTTGTGTCTGTAGACCCCTGACCTTGAGAGGCTGGTGGAGGGTTCTGGGAGGCAATGAATGTGCCTGGCTGGGATGTGGTGGAAGGTGGCCTGGGGCACTCCATTCCTATTCTGGGACTCCTCAGAAAAGGTGTTTCCTTGGGCAATGCCGGGAGGCACTGAGATGGGGCCCTGGACCAAATGCAGTGACTTCCAGCCTATGATCTGTGAGAGCAAATGGGGGTGGGGGTGGGGCAGAGGAGCGAGAGGCTTCTGGCCACACATTAGAGCAGCCATATTCCCAAGGTCAAGTGAGGGTCAACAGATAACACTGGGTTCACACTGGTTATCTTGGTGTTTGATCCTCAGTAGGCCCTGCCCTCTGTGCTCCCCTTCACCACCCCAGCCAAGTTCATCCCTGCATGGTTCCCTGTGTAGGTCCAGGCTCCCTAGTGCCTCCTCCATCTACCCATTGGAATCCTGCCCATCCTTTTAGGGCCCACCTCTATACACTCTTCAGCATCCAGGTATGGACTCCTGGAGTCTTGATGGGGGCTGACTCAGCCCTACATCCAGCGAGCTCTGACAGGGCACTCATGGGCTTTTGAGACAAACCATTTCATGGACTTATGAAGACATTTTTTTTCACACTCTTTGGACTCGAGTGCTTGGGGCAGCAGCAGGGTACCATGGGAGGGATGGGTGCACTGCTCAGCCATGCAGGCGTGGGGTCATTTCCAGCTCTGACTGTCTTGGCTGTGTGGCCTGGAGGACCCACACTGCCACTTCACAGCTTTGCACGATGGGTGTAGCATCAATCTGAAAGCAGTTTCTTGGTGGCTCTGGGGACAGCCAGGGAAGAGTTAAGACAGTCCCAGCCCCTCTGAATTCCACGTGACCCAGGGTTGCTGAGTCTCCGGGTCTGCGGTGGACACTGTTCTCCAGGCTCATTTTTTGCTAATGGCTCATGGAAAGTTTGGCTCCTTGAGCTCCAGACCGCTCCCTCTGGGGCCTGAGGCCTCGCTGACGCTGGTCTTGCCCTGGAAGGGCATCCAGAGTAGCCTCCCGCCTGCAGAGCTATGGTCAGCACCCCTGCTCCATGTCCGCCTGACTTCCTGCTGCCTGACCTTCTCCCCCAGGACAGAGCAGCAGCCAGCCCCTTCTGGCCACATGGAGGCCTCCTCCCAGCGCCCCTATCCAGGATTACTTTTCATTTGCGAGGTATGGGCAGGGGGTGAGGGAAGTCTTTTCCCACTAAAGTCCACCGCATCTGTGAATTGTATCCTTTTGAGTATTGTAGTGGGTAGCAGCCCAGGAGGACTCGGACATCTGCTGGTCAGAGTCCAATCTCAACTCCATTGCTCACTGACTGTGTGACCAGCTGAATCGACTTTCCCTCTCTGAACCCAGGTGTCCTCAGACGCAGATGGGGAGAATAACAGGAAGTTAAGTGAGATAATATAGCTGGTTGATGCATAGCTTAAAAAAACGATTAGAGTGCTTCACATAAAACATGGCATGTAGAAATTCTCCAGGTGGGATGGTTCTCGTGAGCCTGCTGTCCAGATAAACAAAGAGAGGGTGTTGTGCCTGGAGCCAGAGAAGGGCCAAGATGGAGATGCAAGGCTTGCGCCTTCCAGCTCCATGAGCAAGTTCCTTGGAGGCGAGGCCAGTGACCCCATCAATAAGATGAATGGGTTGGACAAGAAGCTCATTGTGCCCCACAAAGGTGACTGGAGGGAGAGCCGTGGGCAGAAGGGAGCTCTGAGCCCCTGCCTGCTCAATTCAGCCTTTTGTCAGTGACTGTGCCATGGAGAGCTATGTGGGGAGCACCACCTCTTTGGAGCCAGATTCAGGGGTTGTCCTCACTTGCAGGATGGACTTCATGAGTAGGGTCCCTGATGGTTTCTTCAGTGAGCTGGTATGCCCTGTGAAACCAGTTGGAGATGGGGGGTGTTGGGTTGGGGTCGGGGAGTGGGACAGGAATAAAGTCCTCTGGGCCAAAAGCCTTGCTCTGACCTTGACTCTGCTGCCCCAGGGTCAGGGTCTCAGAGTTTCAGGGGTTGGGGTGACAGAAGTCAGAGGCAGGGGAGGGGCCGATGGTCAATATTGATCTAGCTGAGTCAGGGGAGCAGGATGGGGAAGCAGGAAGGCTGGGGTGGGGCCTGCCGATAACTGAATCCCAGTGTGACTGTGGGAACCAAGGAAGGGGGGTGCTCGATACAGAATTCCCAAACTAGATCCTTACGAAAACAACAGTGGTCTGGAGCCCTGCCCAGTCCTAATGTGTCCTAATCCCTGAGGGTGGAGCCTAGAATATTTGTATTTT